TCCCTTTTTTTCGATACTGTATCAAAAATCGATCCGATCCGATAAATGCCGATACCGTATCGGATCGAATCTGTTTCACCGTGCTCCAGTTTGTGACAAGAGTGCATAACAACCAGGTTGTTCGAAGTATATCAGCATGTGAGTATGTTCTAAGGTACAACAAGTAACAACGGGAGGTCCACCGGCCTAATAAACAGATCTCATTTGCTGGCATACCTCAAGTGTGGTGTAATGATGCGCCGCCAACCCTAAAGGAGTGGCCTAAAAGCCGGTGTTCCCTGTTTGCTGACAGCACCTCTTGATGGGTGTGTTGGGCTGCAGAAAGGTGTCAGCAACCCATGTAGGACACCGACTGGTGTCCTGTATGGGTTGCTGAACTAATCTGGTTGCTTTGTTGAGGCCGGAGGGAACCCTCCAGCCTTTGAGACAATGTACAGTCTTGACATATTCTTCCAGTCATTGAGATGGATTTCTGGGTATATTTGCCTGCAAAAAAACCTCCATACCCACAGGTACACAGGTAGCCGCCCTAGCAGACCTGGCGGGCGTCAGGATGCAAGTGGGTTGGGTCGACCCGCAGGATACCCGCAACCTGGCGGGTCACAGGTCGGGTTTGAGCAGGCTAGGATTGGAAATTGACCTGACCCAGATTTAAACCAACAGGTTGGTGGGGCAGGTATGTGCAGGACGGAATGTATTTGGGTTGGCTTGAGATTGACCAACTTACTTGATTGAAAGGAAGAAAGTGATTATTTGCTGGGTTGACCTGGACCCAACCCAAGACCTGACCTGACCCAACCCGAGGCACTGTGTATTTGGGCCGGGTTTGGTCAACATTTTACAATTTTTGCCCCAAGGATTTGGCGGAGCGGGTTTGGTCACCGTTTTTCGACCCAAACCCAGCCCACTTGCATCCTGAGGCGGGTGCGGGTGTCCAAAATATTGGATTTTTGAGGCAGGTACCCACACCCGCTACTGGTCCCACTGCACCGATGACCACATATCCAGTACTGGATATCCTGTAAAAAATTGGGGATATGCTGTAATCAACACTTTCTGTTTCTTTTTTTTAGTAATTCCTTTGATGTTTCATATAAATTCTGTAACTTTTCTTTAAACTTACTGAGAAGTTACAGAATAGTTACAGTTAACTTGAAGAAAAGTTACCAAAAATTTACAGAATGCCCAAAATGAATCACAGAAAAAAAAAACAGGAAAGTTTGGTGAAGTTACTTTAACTTTTCTGTAAACTTTCTGTAACACTTCTCTAACTTTTCTGTAACTTTGCATTAAATTAAAAGAAAAGTTACAGAAGTTACAGAAAATGCAAATGAATTGCCGGAAAAAAAAAGATCACAGAAACGTTTGACCACAGAATATCCCCATTTTTTACAGGATATCCAGTACCGGATATTTGGTCAGGGTTGTAGTGGGATCCCCGGGTATGAAGCAACATCTCTATTTGATATACCCCTGATTCCATTCAAATTATGCCCTAGGATGCTGAATTATTACTAATTACTCATACTACAAACTATCAACTTCCTTGATGAAGAGTTGGAGCACCAAACACACCTTTTTCTGACCAACTTGGTAATTTAACATTTGCATTTTTCCAGAAAAGACAAACTAAATGAGTGGGGTTTTCTTTCAAACTTCTTAGCCTTTGTGGTTTGAAATTTTCTACTGGAACCCAGGAATTAACACACAAAATGTATGGTGAGAAATGCATAATTTGCATAGTTTAGTTTGGACATGATGCACAAGAATTTAATTTCTTATATGTTTTTGTCTGAATTACTGGTTTCTTTAGGAGGAAAGTTCTGCCAATACATCTTCAGTTTGCTTGCAGCCCTTGTTTGCAAATATCTAACATTAACCAAAGTGCTGGTATCCCTTTCATGTGAATTGTATGAACACTTGGAGTGATGGGAGAGGTGAGGTAAATTCTAGATTACCAGATTGTCAAGCTCATCATTTAACCCTGTAAGATATAATTGTTACAAATGCAAACAGAAGCTCAACCAAGCATTCAAGACTCCATCACTACAAGAAAAATTTTTACAACTGTATCCAGTTGAAATGTGACTTGACAAATGTGCCTTTGTAATATGACATGTCAACTGTAAACAGTTGCCCAGCTTTTTATTGCAGTGCATCCAAGACTGGAATCTCCAGGTAATCAATCTCATTAATTTTAGTTGATTCCACAAAAGACATTGTAAGCTTACCTGGTATCATCTGCTGGGATGAGACTCACAATCAGAAACATGTGTTAGGTACCATTCAAAAGACATTGCTTATGTCAGCCACCCACAATTTTCAAAAATTATATTTTCCTGTAGAACATTTAATTACCGCTGGGCAAGGTCTCATAGCTCACACAGAGGAACCCCATCAAGGGTGTGTTGATAATTGCACACCTCCCCCCTCCCTGCCTGCCCACGCCCATGCCCCTTGGAAGGCTGTTTCCAAGGTAAAACAGGATTCCGAGGGGCGTGGGCGTGGGCGGGCGGGGGGGGGGGGGCTTGTGATTATCAACGCACCCATCAAGGTAGCTCCAATGAAAGGAAACATTTACATCTCCTTGTGCTATTGGTCAAACAAGCATCTGTAAATTGATTTACAGTTTTATTTTCTGACAGAGTATTTGAGCAGAACTATATCATGAATGATTACAAGTTGCATGAAAATCTCAAACAACCTGTCCAATTAGGAAAAATTACATACTTGCAGAATCTAAAAGTTTTTGCAAATGCACAAAGCTTATCAATTCATTTGTATTTCTTTCATACCAGGCAAATAATGAAGCCATATGTGTAACTGAAGGTTTCTTTGTCTTGTTATATGATTGATATCTAGGCTCAAATGGTAACTAATTCAAACCAAGAAGTGAAATCATTGGTGTAGGATGAGTTATTTGTATCTCAAACAAAAATTCTTGAGTATAAGTTCTTGGATTGGCAGCATAGGCAGAGACGATACCTGGTCAAAGAGCACACCACAGGCAGATAGAGTC